CGATTCAATGTGTTATTTCACGTGTACTCGACAAAAACTTGACTGGGTTAGATTTGGATATTGACTGAAAGTGGGTACATTTTATAAGACAAAAAAAAAAGTTTGGGCAAAAATGAGGTGGTGCTTTTTTACGAGATAAAACAAGCTTAGACCAAAATAGGGATTTTAGTTAAAGTTGGTGTTTTTTTAAGAGACAAAAAAGTGGGGGCTAGAATTGTGGCTCAAACTAAAGTTAATGTTTTTTAGGAAAATTGGGCCAATACAAATGATGTATGAATATGGACTTTCTATTTCGTACACTGAAAATGGAAAAGAAAATAATTTTAAATAAGACTTGTCAATAAGGGTCGTTCTTTTAATACGAAGGCAGCCTCTGGAATTGAATTTTTCTACCTCCACCCTAAGCTATAAAGTCCTTTTCCGTACTTCACGAGTTGTAAATCACGTGAACTAATGTCATCTCAACAATTAATTTTGCCAAACCTTTTAATCAACATTTGGTATGATATTGCCCTACACGACCTATATAGTACAGACAATATTTTGGTTTTTTCGACTAGTAGGTATGCATTAGGCTCATCACTCGATCTATATGTAATATGTATAGTTCGATTTCTAATAATCTCAATAATTATCACGACATTTTTTTTTGTCATAAATGGTTGGTATACATATCGTGATATCGTCCTATGCCGGCGGAGTCGAATTCCACCGTTGTGCAACATATATGGGAAACTTCGGGTAATATTGATGTAGTTAGCAAAAAATTAAGCCAAAACATCTATTGTATTGTCCTTGTACGTATGAATTGATTATCTAGCTATAAATTGGATTGAATTCCACCGTTGTACACCATAAATTGGACTTGGCTGCTCTAGACAAATGAACAAGGCCGGAAAATGACCAAGCACAAGTAGACTTTCAAGGCCTAAAGTTAAAAGCAAAGTTAATTAGCTTCTCTTTATTTAACTTAGATTCGGTGGGAAATTGTTGATTTTCATGCGCAGTCACGTTTGAATTTGACTTACAAGTCGGAGGAAAGTATTGGATTGAGTGGCCTGCATAATTTGCAGGTCCCTAACCTAAAAGCTTTTAAGTCTCTTAATATAATTTTGATTGAATTTTCCAATATAATGACAAAAGCCTTTGACGAATTCGTACCTGAAAAATAGGCTGAAGATGAGAATGCTAGTGTCATCGAATTGCGACACAAGTGCCCTCGTCCATCAAACTTACGATGGACATTATTTGTCATAATTAGATAAATTTCAACTTAAATGTTGACTAAAACTATGTTCTATGTCTTTCTGTTTAACTTCTTCCACAGTCTCATCATTTGCACTTCCCTAGCCAGCTTCAGAACCATGGCTCCTCCCCACTTTCTCCTCGTAGCGTGCCCGAACTGCGGCGCTGTATACCCAGCCCTCCAGCTAGCTGAACGACTCACACGCGTTGGCAGTTGTATTACTTTCTTCACCACCGTGTTTGCCTACTGCCGCATGATTGATCCGGTTTGCCTTGAAGGTGTAACCTTCGCCACGTTCTCCGATGGCTACGACAGCCAGGGGATGACACCGAGCGCTTCCAGGCCGAGATGAAGCAGCGGGGGTCAGAAGCTCTTAGAGGCCTCATCGACTATAGTTCTGCATGAGGCCTCAGGTTCGCATGCGTGCTCCACCCGATGATCCTTGGGTCAACGATATTGCTCGTTCCCTTCAAATCAAATCCTTTCTTGTCTGGATTCAACCTGCGACCGTTTTCAGCATATACTACTATTACTTCAATAGCTATGAGGATGTGATTAAGAACATTACAAGCCAAAGCTTTGACACTACGTCGCTCATCCAGTTGCCCGGCCTACCACCACTAACCGATCGTAATGTCCCCTCCTTTTTCAACCTTGAAAACAAGTATGCTTTTTTGCTCTCCCGAAATTGCAAAGCCAATTTGAACAGCTAAAAGAGGGAGGAAATCCAATAATAGTACTTGTGAACACCTTCAATGCGCTCGAACTTGAGGTATTAAGAGCGATCGGTACATTGCATTTGGTCGAAATCGGGCCCCTTGTCCCGTTCCGTTTACTAGATGCGCAAAATCATAATTCTTCCGATAAATTTTGCAGAGGCAACCTCTTTTGAGGCTCTGAGGAGTACGTTCAATGGTTGAATTCATAGGAGGAAGCGACGGTCATTTATGTAGCCATTGGAAGCCTAGCGATGTTATCGAAGGGGCAAAAGCGAGAAAAGGCATGCGGATTGCTAGAGACAGGCCGACCATTCTTGTGGGTGATAAGAGAGAGTGATGAAGAAGATGATGAACTCGTTTACAAAGAGGAGTTAGACCAGAGAGGAGTGATAGTCCCATAATGCTCTCAAATTGATGTCCTGTTGCATCCTTCGATAGGATGTTTCTTTACTCACTCGGGTGGAACTCGACACTTGAGAGCTTGGTGTTTGGCATTCCAATGGTGGCATTCCCTCAATTTGGCGACCAGATAACGAACTTGAAGCTCGTCGAAGACGTGTGGAAGGTCGGGGTTCGGGTGTCCGAGATTAACGAAGAAGGCATTATCGTTGAGGGTGGAGAAATCAAGAAGGGCTTAAAAGTGGTCATGGGAGGTGGAGAGAGAGGTGATGGAATTAGAAAGCATGCAAAGAAGTGGAAGGATTTAGCCATGGAGTCTTCCAGGGAAGGTGGATCTTCGGGCAAAAATCTCAAGGCCTTTGTTGAAGAATTCGCTAAAGTAAAGGATCAAAAAATGGATTGATTCATGATAAAATGCTATATGTTAGCTTGAATTTATTGTTTGGACCGTTCTTTAAATGTGCATGGATCTTTGAACAAACCTTCTCGATAGGTGGTCGTTCTTTTAGTAATTGAATTTATTATTCCCTAGGTGAATTATTCTATTTTGATACTACTCGTATAAAACGTTATTCACTATGTTGAGTGATGTTTTTTTAATTTAAGAAGAAGGCATCAGAGAGGACTCTGAACTTTTTCAAATTGTTCAAATTGAATTATTTTTTGTGCAATTGAGTTCTTAAAATATATGTTCTTTTATTTGAGTTGGTCTTTCCATTAAATTAAAAAATTAGAAATGCTAACGTGAACTGACACTTAAGCGTCACAGCAATGTTGATCGGATAAATTAGTGTTCAGTGGAGATGCATTTTCTAGATATTGACTAGATAAATTATTGAAAATTTAAAAAAAAAAAAACCTAAGCGAGATGGAAAGAGAAAAGACTTAGAGAGGTCGCAGGGTGGCACTGACGGGGTTCGCGGAGCTCTTGCCAACCGTCGCCGGGATACAGAGCCCAAGCGATGCCTAGCTGGTGTCACGGACCCCCGCGACGGCTAGATCTAGTTTGGGTTGCACAACCCAAGCCGAATCTGGCCTAGGATCGTGCAACCCCGGCCACGCGATATCTGGGGTCATGCGGCCCCACCGGTCGTCGCTGGCAGAGTCAGTTAGTTGCTGCCAAGACGCACAAATTTGGTGAGGAGGACTTTGAAGCGAAGACAAGTTCTTGAAACATCACCATCTTCATCGACATGAAATGTCTGTTGAAGAATCCACCAGGGACTGCCGTGGGATGTTAAGGAGCCAAAAGAGCAAACCATAATACCCTACTTTGGTGGTTTCGAATATGAGATTGTGAACCTCGTTTAACTCCAACTTTATGGGATAAGTGCAAAAATTGGTCCAACGTTTTGGTCATCGGTAAAACTTAATCTCTTATCATTGTAAATTGAGGACTTTTTTTTTTTTGGTCGAAAAAATTGAGGACTTAAGGTATGAAAAAAAGTATCAATCAGGTTTCGAGATCGTGGCTCCCGACGCTTGCATTTTGCTGACAACGAGCTCGAAACCTGATTGAAAAATTTTTAATGCTTTAAGTCTTCAATTGCTCAAATAAAAGTCTCAATCAAGACAACATCTGTGGTCCATGTACGTATGAATTGATTCCATAAAATAATATAGAAGTCATGAACCTCTCGTTCCATCAGAGGTGGACCATATGATAACTCATTTATCTTTGCGTACATATTGGCACTTGGACTTGGCTATTCTTGACAAATGAACAAGGGCCAGAAAATGACCTTCCCTAAACTTAAAATCACAAGTTAATCTGTCGACGTCTATTTTTTGGAAGAAGGTACATGGGGGCAGCCATGTTTGAATTTGACTTGCAAGAGATGATGGAATAAATCGGTTGGTCCGACATAATTTGCACGTCCCTACGTAAGAGCTTTTGAGTTGTTTAATAGAAAACGATTGGATTTTTAAATATCATGACCAAAAGCATGTGACCATGTCGTGCACGAAAAATAGGTTAAAGATGAGAATATCCCTCGCATAACGACATACGAGCAACATCGAGCCAATACTTATACAACATGATCCAACCAAATCAAATCCAACCCATCCACGTAGTTGCCTCATCCATCAAATTTACGATAAACATGATTTATCATAATGAGATCATATAATATGAAACTTCTGTAAGAGTTTTTCTGATGTGGGCTACATTAATTGATATTACCTTTTTACAGGGTTGGTCTAATAAGATTAGATATAAATTTTTTTAATTAGTATAATATGGGGCTGGCTAGTGTGGGCCGAGTAAGGCCCGGCACGTGATGAGAGGGCCTGGCTTAAAACTCTATAAATAAAGCTCAGGTCCCTTCTCTAACCCTAATACACAAATTATCTCACATAAGGGGCAAACGCCAATTGTGAGGGCAGTCTCATCGAGCCAGTGATAAAGAGGGTAATAGAGAAGAAGACTTGTGCTGGGGATCGTCGCTATTTCGCATCAAGAACAATAGATTCCAAATCAAGTGCACAAATTCATTTTACTCTATTATTGTGTTTTAGATTTTAGCTACGGAGATCTTAGGTGTCATTTTATCGCGACAAACAACTGCAACTTAGATGTTGACTAATTTTATGTTGAAGACGAGGCATGTCTTTCCGTATATAACTTCTTTCACGGTCTCATCATTTGCACTTCCCTAGCTAGCTCCTAAAACCATGGCTCCTCCCCACTTTCTCCTCGTAGCGTACCCGAGCCGCGGCTCTATAAACCCGACCCTCCAGCTAGCTGAGCGCCTCACACGCGCCAGCGGTCGCATCACTTTCTTCACCACCGTGTCCGCCCACCGCCACATGATCGATCCGGTTCGCCTTGAAGGTGTAACCTTCGCCACATTCTCCGATGGCTACGACGATGGGTGTGAGCTAGGGGATGACATCGATCACTTCATGGCCGAGCTGAAGCGGCGGGGATCAGAAGCTCTCAGAGGCCTCATTGAGTGTAGTTCTGGACGAGGCCTCAGGTTCACGTGTGTACTCCACACGATGATCCCTTGGGCCGACGACGTTGCTCGTTCCCTTCAGATCCAATCAGTTCTCGTTTGGATTCAACCGGCGACTGTGTTCGGCATATACTACCATTACTTCAATGGCTTTGAGGACGTGATTAAGAATGTTACGAGACAAAGCTGTGATACAACATCACTAATACGATTGCCCGGCCTACCACCACTAACCAACCGCGACCTCCCCTCCTTTTTCAACCTCGAAAACAAGTATGCTTTTGCTCTCCCGCAAATGCAACGCCAAATGGAGCAGCAAAAAGAGGGGACAAATCCAAAAGTAGTACTTATGAACACCTTTGATGCGCTCGAACTCGAGGTATTAAGGGCGGTCGGTACACTGAATTTGGTCGGAATCGGGCCCCTCGTCCCGTTCCAATTCCTAGATGCACAGGATCATAATTCTTCAGATAAATCTTTGAGAGGCGACCACTTTCGGGGCTCCGAGGAGTATGTTCAATGGTTGAATACAAAGAAGGAAGCGTCTGTAATTTACGTAGCCTTTGGAAGCTTAGCGAAGTTCTCGAAGGCGCAAGAGCGAGAAATAGCGTGCGGATTGCTAGAGACCAGCCGGCCATTCTTGTGGGTGATGAGAAAGAGCGATGGAGATGATCACGAACTCATTCACAAAGAGGAATTAGACAAGAGAGGAGTGATAGTCCCATGGTGCTCTCAAATCGAGGTCTTGTCACATCCTTCGATAGGGTGTTTCTTCACTCACTGTGGGTGGAACTCAACACTCGAGAGCTTGGCATGCGGCATTCCGATGGTGGCATTCCCTCAATTTACCGACCAGATGACAAACTCGAAGCTTGTTGAGGCCGTGTGGAAGGTCGGGGTGCGAGTGCCCGAGATTAATAGAGACGACATCGTTGTCGAGGGAGGCAAAATTAAGAAGTGCTTGGAGTTGGTCATGGGTGGTGGAGAGAGAGGCGATGGAATCAGAAGGAATGCAAAGAAGTGGAAGGGTTTGGCCAAGGAGGCTTACAAGGAAGGTGGATCTTCGGACAAAAATCTCAAAGCCTTTGTTGAAGAATTCACTAAAGTACAGGATCAAAAAATGGATTGATTTGTGATAAAATGTTATATGCTAGCTTGAATTTATATGTTCGTACCGTTGTTTAAATGTGCATGAATCTTTGAAAACTGTACCGAGTTGAGTGGCAATATAGTTGATGTACGAATAATGAATATGGACTCTATTTTGTGTACTAAAAGCGAAAATAAAAGAATTTGGCACAAACCTTCTGGATAATTGGTAGTTCTTCTAGTAGTCGATTTCATTATTCCATTTCTAGGTGAATTATTCTATTTTTTGTACAGCTCGTGTTAAACATTATTCACTATATTGAGTGATGTTTTTCTAATGTGAGAAAAAGGCATGTACTCCGAACTTTTTCAAATTGTTCAATAAGGTCCCTGAATTATCTTTTTTTTGCACAATTGGGTCCTGTAAATATATGTTCTATTATTCGAATTGGTTCTTCTGTTAGAATAAAAACAAAAAGATGAGTCCAGTGAGACAATGAATTTATTTTGGGACCTTTTTCACCAATGGGAGAGAAAGCTCGAGAAAACTAGTCTTCGGGTATCTAGGTATGGTTTATGCCATGATCAGTATGGGTGTTCTTGGATTTCTTGTTCGATTGCTAATGTGGACGGACCCGTGTGCGTCATATCAATGTTGACTGGATAAAATAGTATTTAAATGTAATTTTAAGGGAAATTTTATATAAGAGCCTGAAATGAGATCGTTTTCTAAAAAAGGACCCAGAATGAACCATGTCTAAAGCAAGGACCTAAAGTGGTCAGCTTATTCTCAAATAAGAGCCTAAGCATCCGTGTGCTTCTCGCATGTCACTTTTCAAGCCAAGATCGGGACATTTTCGTCCAATAGCTTTTTTTTCTATTCCTGTTTTCTTTTATATGTTGTTCTTCTTCTTCGGCTCAAGGAGAAGATGGGGAAGAGAGAGGAAAAGAGGGTATAATGACAAGGATAAGTGTGATGGTGCCATTACCATTCCCATTCCACTACTGGTTATGGATGAGGCCACAGACATGGGTGAATCTGTGGAGGAGAGGGTGTGACCCAAGCACTGATTGCTCACTGCTTGAAGCTGATTCAGAGCCTCTCTTCTCTTCTCTTTCTCTTCCTTGTCTGGTGGTTATGGGTATTGATTGTTGCGGGGTATATGTTCATTTGTCTATTGTTCTGTTTTCTAGGGAGACCAAGAGGGTCGCCGCCCTCTCCCCGGCTCTGGCGAGGGTTGCCGGCCCTTGCTGAGGCGCCAGCGACCCCGCTGGCCATTGTTGCCGCCCCACCAACAATGGGGCAATGGCCCTATGTGTTTCTTTTTTCTTTTTCTTTTTTTTAAATTTAGCATTTTTTTCTTTTTTGAGTTCATTTTTTTATGGAAAGAAAAAAAAGGAAGAAAAAAAGGAAAAAAATCAAAAAAATTAAAAAACGAAAATGCCTTTACCAGCTAATTAATAAGGTTAAACTCTTCTTTGAAATTCACATAGCCACTTCAAACCCTTACTTGAAATAAAGTTCACTTCATGCTCTTATTTAAAACAATATCCACTTTAAGCCTTTCTTTGAGAAAATGAGGGCACTTCGGGCTCTAATTTGGAATTTTCCCAATAAACAATAAGGAATATATTGTGAAATCATTAATTTCAAATTTTAATCACGTAAGAATTTTTTCAATCTAAAAAAAGGGATAATGACACAAATAGTCCTTGAACTTTGACTTAATATGCAATGTGGTCCATAAACTTTTAATTTGTTCAATATGATTCCTGGATTTTTGGTTCATGTTCAATATTATACTCGAACTTGAATTAATGGAAGGACTATATTAAACATTTTCATATAGTACAGGGACTAAATTGAACATGTATCAAAAGTTCAAGTATGACATTAAACAAATTAAAAGTTCAGGAATCACATTGCACATTTGGTTAAAGTTCAGGGATCATACTAAACAAATTAAAAGTTCAGGGACCACATTGCATATTAGACTAAAGTTTATGGATTGTTTGTTTCATATTCCCTTCTTTTTTTTAACTATTCGTTTAGATTGGGATTGCCCCTGACCCACCTAAAGTTTATTGACAAGTTCCGATAGTCCGAGCTAACTGGGCTTCAAATGTTGAATTCCGAAGAGACCTGCACTGGCTCGAAATTTAAAAGATAATAATTATTAGGACTTACTAACCACGCTTATAAAATTTAAAAGAGGTTAGTAACTTTTTAATTCATTTAGATGTTGGTAAATTCATTACAATGTTGGTCATTTAATAATCATACTCTGTAAAATTTGAAAAAAAAAATAGTAACTTACCAATTAACTTGGACTTTGGTAAATTTCCTAGCAATTTTGGTAATTTACCAATCATACTTTGTAAAATTTGAAAGAATTTAGTAATTCACCAATTTATGGACGTTCGTGAATTCATTACAATATTGATTATGTATAAACCACACTTGTCAAATTCTTTTTAAAAAAAAGTCAGTGACTTGTAAATTTAATTAGACTTTCGTGAATTCAATAAAATGTAGGTAGGTTAATGACCATAGTATAGAATTTAAAAAAAGTCGGCATCTTACTGTGTTGTTTAGATATTGGTAAATTCAAGTATAATCTTCGTAATTTATTAACCACACTTGTAGAATTTAAAAAGTTAGTAACTTACTGATTAATTTTGAAATTAATAAATTCCTTATGATGTTGGTAACTTATTAGCAGATTATCTGAAAAGCAAGTTACGTGTCAATTTTTTTTACCAACTATATTTCATAATTACAAGTAACTCAAGAAATCTCTAACACGGAAAAAATTCCGTTGTTAACCCTATGAATGTTGGAACCAAAAAGAGTAATAACAATTTTGGAAATTTAGAATGAGTGCACAAGTCGGAGGGAGAAATTGTTCTTGGAATGCTTTCGGATGGCTTCAATTTACAACACTTACCCTTACATCCTTATATAATAGCAGAACACCTACATTACAATAAATGACGAAGACAAATATCTCACACACTTACTATCCTAAAAACAAAATGTCAACATCCAAAAAAACACAAACATTAAATGAGCCAAAGACCATGAAATCTTGGCTCTTCTGACAATGTTTAAACTTCATGCTCTTTGACAAAAAACCAAACAAGAGCTCCTCTTTTCCTTATGAAAGCATTTAATGGTGGAGGTTCTACCCAAAGATAGCCGACCATAAATCATGCTGATTTCCCTTTGTCTTTGTTTTTCTTCTTACACCCACCATAACGTGCTCAATCCGACTATCAATTTTATATTATTCAAACGTTGAGACCTTAGAATCTTGACATACAGTAAAATTCAACTATCGAACTCTTGGAGTGGCACTTGGGATTCGCGGCTGGGTTGATTTTTCAAGTTTTTTTAAAAATTCCCTCATTTTTTTCTTACTGGATTTAGGCCATAAACACCATGTAAGCTATCTTTTTTTTTTTACTAATGCGGTATTTATCACGCAACACATGAGCCTATGACTATTTGAAAGACTAAAATAAATGCACAAGTGTCAATAGACAAGGCATGTAGATCAATATTATATCAATCATTAGTTTGGGATTTTTCATGATATTAATCCTAAAAAGTTTAGAACTAAATTTGCAAATTACCAAAAAGTTTAAGAATAAATTGATACAATTGAAATGTTTAGTATTGAATTGGTCGCTGTATAATAGGTTTAGGACTACTTAGACAATTATTCCCATATGATCATATGAAAATGAAATTTACTTCTTTTAAACATGCTATGTTTCTTATATTTTTCACTTATTTTAGCTTCAATTTGAGCTTTTCTTTTTAAACAGATTAAGAAATAGGAAATAAAACGACGTAAATTTGAATAAGTTACGCTTAACATTATTCATCATCTTAAATGGATCAATCCTATGTCCAAAAGAAAAAAAAAACGGATCAATCTTAGGCTTCATTTGTCTCACGTGTAAAAATGAATGATTTGAAAAATATCTTCCCAAAAATGATTATTTGTATCGCTTACAAAAATGAATGAATGAAAAATATTTTCATCATTAATGAAAATGTTTAGTCATAAATTATTGTTGACAATGAAAATATTTTCCATTGATTAATTATTCCAAGCAATATAAGAGATCAGTTTTAGAAGAATATTTTTCAAATCATTAATTTTTCGCGAAACAAATAGAACCGTGTATGGTCAAAACCCAATAGAGGTGGATGGTATAATACCTCATACATCTCTGGTGACAACTATTCTACAGTCGGTTTTCTATCTGCTCGGTTTCTTCGTGCGAGCCAAATATTCATGCCGTTAATTGCTGATTATTGCCATTATGTTGGAACTTTTTTTTTTCGGTCCTATCTCTAACTCTCCTCACTCAATGACTTTTGCTCTACCTCTTGCAAAGCGTAGGAATTGAACCCGGTACCTATGATACTAGCGTCCCCACTATGACATCCTCAAATTCGACCCTATTCTGGATGTAATGAAATGACTATATTCATCGATGCACTATTAGTTAAATCTCACTCTAAATTGATCACTCATGAGAGACTAACCGATAGGGAAAGGCTATTAAGGAAGTGAGTACGCACGACCTGAGAGCACGACCTAAGAACTCGACCATGGATTGACAATTCGACCATAAGGATTGACGAAGGACAATTTTGAGCCACTATAGACCGATCAAAGAACGGTTATAGAATGTTTCACCAATAGTATACAATCAGATCGCGGGTGATTCCGCCTAACCATTTTATGGATTGGGAATGATCCTAAACCAATTCCTAACGATCGTGTATTTCGGAACTAGTGATTGACCCCTCGCAATTACATGACAACCGAGATTATCCATGGCTCAAGAAAGCTTAAACGTGAATTGATATCAAATCAATCACGGGTCGAATACGCGTAACTCCTAAAAGCCGTCCGTTAGTTTGAGATCTACTAAAGTTGCAATCGATCGATTTTGACCATGAATTAGAATCCGAATTTGAGTATATAAACCTTCGAGAATTTCAAGACGAAGCTATTGGACGTCGCCTCGTTAATCCTTTGATTTATTGATTTGCTCGAAATGCTCGGAAAAGGAGTTAATGGGCCGAGAATTGATTGGAGTGCACGAGGAAGTGGGCCTAGCGAAGGCCCATTGGGCCTTACGCCCAACGTGGGCTTCGGCCACTTAGGCCCAAGCTAGTTCAAGTGGGCCCAATGAGGCCCACTTAGCCCAATTTGAGCCCGATAGCATTTTCAAGCCCAATCTTAATCCTTTTGAGCCCAAACTCGATTTATATGAGCCCGTACAAAATTCTAGCCCATATACGCTTATAGTATTTTATACTATACTTTGTGAAATTACTATTTTGCCCTTCGAGCATTAATTGAGAAGTGACAAAAGGGAGAGAAAGTCTTGGCATTTATGTGGGGAAATGATGATCTTGGACTTGAATTTGGCTTGATCAAGAAGCCTTTCTAGAAGAGAAATCTCTCTCTCTCTCTCAAAAATCCGGCCCCCTCCTCCCTCTCTTCTTTCCTTCGGCTAAACCAGCAAGAATAGCCCCTTGGCTAGACATGGCCATGGTTCGGAACCGGCGGTTCCGGTTCGTGGCCATGTATGAACCGGCGGTTCCAGGCCGGTTCCGGTTCCGGCCCGGTTCGGAACCGGCCGAAAAAATGAAAAAAAAAAGAAAAGCCGCTGAGTCCCTGCTGCGGCTTTTTTTTCGAACCTGGCCCGTAGGCCACGGCCGATTCCGGTTCCGAACCGCGGGCACGATCAACAGGCCGGTCCCGGGTTTGACCCAGGCCGGTTCCGAGCCGAAATCGGCCCGTGGCCATGTCTACCCTTGGCTACTGTTTTTGCTGCCATGGAGCCAACCGGCAAGCGCTGTGACAAGCCATGACCGCCCCCTCGCCGAGTGCTGTCCGTCCGAGCTGTTTCCTCGTCGGTTTGCCTTCACCGTGAGCGAAACCATCCCTACAGAATCTGCTATGCTGCGATCCAGCCGTCCATCATCATCCCGTGTCATTTTCGGACCAAGCCATGCATAGCCCTTGCCGCCGCCGTCGCATCCGTGTTGTCAGAATTGCTAACGGGTGAGTTTTCGCCCTAATCCCTTGATTAGTATGTGTTTAGATTAAGTTAATTATGTTTAGTGCTAATTAATTAGGGATTAATCGATAAGCTATCGCGATAAGTAATAAGTGGTAGTGATAAGTTATCAAGAAATGTAATAAGCTATCGGATTATTTTATAATTAATATTTTCTTATTAAATAAATTAATTTTCGGAATTTAAATATTAATATTTTATTAATTTGTTAGTGTAGTTTTTAATAATAATTTGTGATTGTCTTAGGCTTGAATTGTGATGCTTATGTTGGAAATTGCCATATAAATTAGCTGGTACTGCAAAATGAATTGTATTGCTATTGTCAAGGATGGAATTGCGGGCAAATGAATAGTAAACTCGAGGTGTCGGGTTTATATGTCAAATTTTATGAGTTAAATAGGGCGAGGATGTTTAAATATGGGAGCATGCAAAGTTTGGCGGTTTAATTACGTGTACGTGGTCACGTGTGATTTAATTATCACATTTTTGGCATGAAAATTATAGTATCTCGATATGTGAGCACAATCATGTGTGCATTGGTTAAACGAGAGAAATGAATTGGCTTAAGTGATTGCTATGTGTGTATGATCACCTAAAAGTTTCAATTGTGCCCGGTTATATCGGAAGACCGCCAACCTAGGGTTTGGCCGTGGCCGTGACAGGTCATGCCCAATTTGGTAATTGGATGCTATCGCAGGGGGCAGGCTGAGACGAAGTCGTTCGCGAATTGGATTCGGAACGAACCCCTTTTATGGGATGCCATCATTAAGGTTGGGTGAGACGATGATGTGCTCGACGGGGCGGGACGATGCCCGATTATGCCGGAAGACCGCCAATCTGATGCGAATATCACGGGTTGTGCCGTGCCTTGAGTAGCCATAGTAATATGAATACACATGATAAAGTATGGTAGCATTACACTTGATTATGGGATGAAATTGTGAGGCACGGTATGGGACGGGCCAAAGCGGTTTCACCTTATAATCAGGACTTGTGTTGATGCATTATGCATGGAAAAGCTATTGCGTATTCTAATTGCATTATATGCCTATTACATTATGATTGTATATGGAAGTTCGTAACGTGCAGGGTGTGTGTGCCAAGGCAAGGTAAGAATGGTTACGATTGTTTAATGGCACGTTTGCTTATGCTGGACTGGGTGGCCTGCTCGTGTGTATAGTTAAGGTAAAGCAAGGGTAGCTTTGCTATTAATCTGCTATCGATAATATGCTGCATGTTTTAGGTGCATCCGAGATGAGTTGATTTCCTAATCGAGGCTTAGGTCGTTAACTTGCTGAGTTTATCTCATTGTTATTTGTTACCTGTTTTTCAGACCCCCGACCATGAATCGCCCTCCGATGCGTTTTGGCGTGCCCATGGATATGAGCACGATAATAGTAGAGTTCCCAGTGGGATCGGGTAGGGTTCATGAGAAGCATATGTCAATCGTTTGGGTTGACGAGGGGCTTGAGCTATGGCAACCACATGAATTCGTAGCATGGTTCATTAGGGGAGGGGGTAGGCGGTTTGGCCCAATAAGGGGCTTTGATGGACCCCTTAATGGTGGCACTGGAGATGAGGTTTGGGACCCCTTGGATCTCGATCCTCTTGACGGAGCTGTTACCTATCCGGATACCGGTCCAGATGACATGGAGTCCGAAGTGGACAAAGTGGAGTCTAATCCGGATCCTCCTCCAGGTTATGGCCAGTTATGGTGATGGATTTGGATATCTCATCTTTTTTACCGCCCCTTATGATAGTGAAGTTAGGTTAACCCAATCACCAAATCCCTTTTTGTTTATGCGTGGTCTTTTAGGAGGTAGCCTTATAATAGGCTTGTTTATTGTATCTTCTAGGGGTTGACGTTGTATTTATAAAATGGCTTCACTAATTTTCTTCTCAAAGTATTTTCCTTACTATCCCGTTTTATTGATTGTTGTTTGAGTGAATCTAGTCCGCTTCCACATGCGTTTATTCGATGTTATTCGTTTGGGTCAGCGACGCGTCCTGGGACATTGGCATTACACTACCATTGGTAGGATGTTAGCGTGCTCATGGGTCCGGGGCGTGACACCTACCCCCCTAATTCCTTTACCAGTAGGGCAGCATGCCTATTGGCCGTTATGCTAGCACTTGACAAATAACAAGGCCAGAAATTGACCGAGCACAATTACAAATTCAAGGCCTAAACTTAAAGTCATGCCTAAACTAAAAGTCATAAGTTTATTATCTTCTCTTTATTGTTTAATTTTCTTTTTATTTTTGTTGCCTTCTATTTTTGGGTATAAGGTTCGGTCTGTCTGTAATTCTTCCTAATAAAACTAAATATAACTCAAGAGTAGAAATATACGTATTTATATATTCATATGAAAATGAAACTAATTATTTAAATATGCTATTCTTTTTATTTTTTCGCTATTTTTTGTTTCATTTCGCCTTTTATTTAAAATGGATATAGATATAGGAAATAAAACAAAATAAGGATGAATAAGTTATGCTTAATATTATTTATCATTTTAAAAGGGTTGAGTTTATTTTAAATGGATTAATCTTAGCGTACCAATAAGTTACAATTAAATTATGCTTAACTTAAAATGACATAACTACGATCTAGTTCTGTTGAAGGTGGACGATATGATAACCCATTAATCTCTAGTGACAACTATTCCTCGGTCGGAAATTCAAGGCCTAAAGTCAAAATCATAAGTTAATTAGCTTCTCCTTATTATTTGAGTTAATATCACGAAAAACCCTAAACCGGTACACTTGTAACAAATTTATCCAAAACTAATTTTTTGACCACCAAAAACCCCAAACTAGTACACATGTAACAAATTTACTTCAAACTAATTTATTGATCACCAAAAACCTTAAACTAATACACTTGTAAAAAATTTACCCTACATTAGTTTCCGTAGATTAATATCACGAAAAATCACAAATTTGTACATATGCGACGAATAGATGGTAAAATCCCAAGTTGGTACACCCGTCGACTGTCACGTGTCATCCAACTCGGCAATTTGACTGTACAATTTAACGAAAAATAATGGATGATAAATTTGTCATAGGTGTACCAGTTTGGGATTTTTTGTGATCAATCACAAATATACCAGTTTGGGATTTTTTTGTAATATTAATCGTCAATATTTTGTTTCTTTTTTTTGTTGTCTCTTTTAGAAGGTTCCTTTTGCCTGCTTTTTCCTAGTGTAATATCGTTAATTTTCATGTGTAGGCACGTTTGAATTTGACTCGCAAGCGATGACGGAGAGTGCTGAGTAGGATAAAATTTTTGGTTAACTCAAAGTACAGAAAGAAAAAAGTACAGAAGTATTCTGACGAAAACAAAGTGCAGAAGTACATCCAGAGGTCTGACATTATTTGTACGTCCCTCACAAATATTTTAGAGGATACTTGCTAACTATAATAAAGACATTAAGTTGTTCAATGAAATTGATTGTATATGCAAATATTCTCACAAAAGACTTTTCCAAAGTCGTACGTGAAAAATAGGTCAAAGATGGGAAAGTCATGTCATCGAATTACGACATATGAGCTTCCTCGAGCCAATTTTAGTTTGATATAATCCAATCAAACTTGACCCGACCCATCCACATATTTGCCACCTACGCTTAATTGCCCTCGTCCATTACATTTGCGATAGACATTGTTTATCATAATGAGATCATCCAATGCGACGCTTTAACTTAAATGTTGACTAATTCTATGTTGAAGACGAGGCATGTCTTTCTATATAACTTTCTTCCTGGTCTCATCATTTGCACTTCCCTAGCTAGCTAGCTCCTAAAACCATGGCTCCTCCCCACTTTCTCCTTGCAGCGTTCCCGGGCCGTGGCGCTATAAACCCTGCTCTCCATCTAGCCGAGCACCTCACGCGCTTGGGCGGTCATGTTACTTTCTTCACCACCGTGTCTGCCATCCGCCACATGATCGATCCGGTTTGCCTTGAGGCTTACACCTTCACCACATTCTCCGATGGCTATGACGACGGGATTGAGCTCGGGGATGATGTCAATCACTTCATAGCCGAGCTGAAGCGGCGGGGGTTGGATGCTCTTAGAGGCTTCATTGAGTATAGTTCGGGACAAGGCCTCAGGTTCTCGTGTGTACTCAACACGATGATCCCTTGGGCCGATTACGTTGCTCGTTCTCTTCAAATCCCATTGGTTCTCATTTGGATTCAACCGGCGACTGTCTTCGGCGTATACTATCATTACTTCAATGGCTATGGGGATGTGATTAAGAATGTTACAAGCCAAAGTTGTGATACAACATCGCTAATACGATTGCCCGGCCTACCGCCACTAACCAACCATGACCTCGCCTCCTTTTTCAACCTCAAAAACCGGTATGCTTTCGGTCTGCCGCAAATGCAAAGCCAATTTGAGCAGCTAAAAGAGGGGGGAAATCCAAAAGTGGTTCTTGTGAACACCTTTGATGCGCTCGAACTCGAGGTATTAAGGTCGATTAGTACACTGAATTTGGTCGGAATCGGGTCCCTTGTCTCGTTCCGTTTCCTAGATGTGCAAGATCATAATTCTTCTGATAAATCCTCCAAAGATGACCTCTATCGGGGCTCTGAGGATTATGTTCAATGGTTAAATACGAAGGAGGAAGGTTCTGTAATTTATGTAGCCTTTAGAAGCATATCGAAGTTCTCGAAGGCGCAAAAGCGAGAAATGGCTCGCGGATTGCTAGAGACCGGCCGGCCATTCTTGTGGGTGATGAGAAAGAAGGATGGAGATGATGATGAACTCATTTACGAAGAGCAATTAGACGAGAAGGGAGTGATAGTCCCATGGTGCTCTCAAATCGCTGTCTTGTCGCATCCTTCGGTAGGATGTTTCTTCACACACTGCGGATGGAACTCCACGCTCGAGAGCTTGGTGTGCGGTGTTCCGATGGTGGCGTTCCCACAATTTACTGATCAGATGACAAACTCGAAGCTCGTCGAGGACGTGTGGAAGGTCGGGGTTCAACTGTCCGAGATTGATAAAGAAGGCATTATCGTTGAGGGAGGTGAAATCAAGAAGTGCTTGGAATTGGTCATGGGAGGTGGAGAGAGAGGTGATGGAATTAGAAAGAATGCAAAGAAGTGGAAGGATTTGGCCAGGGAGGCTTCCAAGGATGGTGGGTCTTCAGACAAAAATCTCAAGGCCTTTGTTGAAGCATTCACTAAAGTAGATTAATTCACGATAAAATGTTATATGTTAGCTTGAATTTAAATATGGCTTGAGACTATGTATTGAAAATTGTGCCAAGTCGAGCGGTGATATAGATGATGTATGAATATGACTTTCCTTGTACAATGAAAGGGAAAAATAAAAGAATTTAGAACAATTCTTATCGATAATTGGTAGTTCTTTTACTAGTCGAGTTCATTCTTCCAATTATAGGTGCATTATCCTATTTTGATATTGCTCGTATAAAACATTATCACTATATTAAGTGATTTTTTTTAATTTAGAGAAAAGGGTATCGGAGGTCCATGAGTTTTTTCAAATTGTTCAATCAAGATTTTTAACCATTTTTTTGTGTAAGTCTTTTAAAGTATATGTTTTTTTTTTCGAGTTGATCCTTTTGTTAAAATAAAAAAAAACAGAAATAATACATATAAGTGCCACGTCAATGCTAATTTAATAACTTGATGCTAACATCTAATTTTTATGTGTTGACCAAATAAATTATAGAAAAAATTTATATATAAAAAAACAAACCCTAAGAGAGAGAAAGAGACAAGACGATATGTAATTTCGTTCTTGTACCTTTTTATCTTTTAATCTGAATTCTTTAAAGTTAACATATGAGGTCGAAAGCTTTTTTGTGTCCAAGAGAGATGATTTTGTCACGATTCATGACTTGGCTCGAGGAAGGGGAAAGCCAGATGCAATCAAACGCTTTGTGTCATATTGAATGGTCAACAATCAACGACAGAGACATGTTTATTTTAGTCAATGACAAGACCTTAGATATGATGTGAGCGACAAGATTGAGTTATGAGGAAACGTCAATGACGACGCCACACACACGTTATATAAGATTAATACTTCGAAAACTTTAAATCAGTATATTTATGATAAATTTATTTAAAATTAATTTTTTGATCGCAAAAAATTATAAACTAATACACATATGATAAATTTATCCAAAATTAATTTTTAGAACACAAAAAACCCTAAACTGGTACATTTTTGACAAATTTACTCTTTGTTAAATAGAATTAATACCACAAAAAATCACAAACAGATAAATCTGTGATAAACTAATGAGTAAAATCCTAAACTGGTACACCCGTTAACTGTTACGTGTCATTTTACTCAGAAATTTGATGATAAAATTTAACGAAACTAACTGAGGTTAAAATTGTCACAAGTGTATTAGTTTGGAGTTTTTGTTGATAAAAAAAATTAATTTAGGGTAAATTTATCATAAGTGTACAAGTTTGGGGTTTTTCATGGTATTAACCCTATTATATACACGTTTTATCCTTAGGTCTTGAACCATGATTTTTTTTACGGAAAAATTTCAAATAATGGCTTGAAGTGCTCTTCTCATCTTCTCAAATAAGGACTTAAAACGCCATCGTTTTAAAACGATGGACTTAAAACAACATCGTTTTCTCAAATAAAGATTAGAAGTGGATCTTGTTTCAAATAAGCGTATGAAGTAGCCATATAATCTCCAAAAATGGCTTGACCTATTTGATCGAAGGACATTTTCGTCATTTACTTTTTGAATTTTTTCTTTTTTCTTCTTTTCACTACTCTCCGCCGACCAAAGGTTAGGGCTGCCCTCACCCTCGCCCTTGCCAGATCTAGCGTAGGCGAGGGTCGCCCTTGCCCACCCAGCCTAGGTGAGGTCGACCCTCGCCCGATGCCAAGGTTGGCTAGGCCGAGCGAGGGTTGCCCTCGCTAGATCTGGCATAGGTGAAAATCGCCCTCGCCTGAGGCCGGCGGAGGCAATGGCCGGTAAAGGGAAGTGGGAAGAAAAAGAAAAGGAAAGTAAAAAGAATTAAAAATATATATTTAGAATTGTTTTGACTAAAATACTTCTGCTGGAATAGTCACATGTTGATTGGCTGACCAAAAGTCCTTATTTGAGACGATTTGACCACTTCAAGCCCTTATTTGAGGCGATTTGGCCACTTCAGACCCTTATTTGAGAAAATGAGGACATTTTAGTCCCTTATAAAATTTTCCTTTTTTTAATGCAACTTATTGATAACCTACCACTTTTTTTTTATGAAATTACCAATTTTTTTTTAGTTTGCAAGATTCGCAATTTTTGTACTAATGTGCCAACCTTTATTTTCATAATTTACATATGTTTTCAATTTACTAACTTATACACAAAATTACCAACTTAAATTAGAATTATTTCCCACCTTTTTATCCGATTTAATTACTTACATTTTTGAGTTAGTAATCCTAATTTGAATTGCGTATCGACATTTAATTATTCTTTTTTCAAATCCAATCGAGTTTCCAATTTTTATTTGACTTGATTATCAATACATTATATTTACTAATTCGTGTTTCAAAGATTATTAACCTAAATTAGCGTTACTCACCAACATCAAGAGCTCGGTATGCGGCGTTCCGATGGTGGCATTCCCACAGTGGGTTGATTAGATGACAAACGCAAATCTCATCAAGGACGTGTCGAAGGTCAGGGTTCAAGTGTCTGAGATTAATGAAGAAGGCATTATTGTCGAGGGAGGTAAAATCAAGAAGTGCTTGGGGAATTGGTCATGGGAGATGGAGAGAGAGGTGATGGAATTAGAAGGAATGCAAAATAGTGGAAGGATTTGACCATGGAGGCTTCCAAGGAAGGCGAATCTTCAAACAAAAATCTCAAGGCCTTTGTTGAAGAATTCGCTAAAGTAGAGGATCAAAAAATGGATTGATTCATGATAAAATATTATATGTTAACTTGAATTTTTATGTTTGTACCATTGTTTAAATGTGCATGAATCTTTGAAGATTGTACCGAGTTGAGTGGCAATATAGTTGATATATGAATAATGAATATGGACTCTTTTTCGCATACTAAAAGGGAAAATAAAAGAATTTTGAACAAGCCTTCTCAACAGTTGGTCATTCTTCTAGTAGTTGATTTCATTATTCCATATGTAGCTGATGAATTCTATTTTGATGTTGTTCATAGTAGGGGTGAGCATGATCCGGGTTGGTCCAGCACCTAACTCAAGGACCAATCCACACAATGTTGGTCCTCAATTTTTGGGATCGAAAACCGACCCTGTTGAGCCTAGGAGCAAAGACCGGACTGACCTTATGGGTCCAGTCTAGTTCCAAGGTCAACTTGAGACCTATCGATTATTTTTTTTATTTCATTTTTTGCATTCTTTGAAAGGACAAACATACTATTTTAAATTACATATTCATCAACAATGCAACATTGAGCAACCAAACTCTGAACACTAGTATACATCAAACATAAATATAAGATAAGGTAACAACATAAATTTCACACTTGCTTAAAGCAATAAACATAAAAACAAACAAATGAAATACAATTAAATCATAAGAAGTTCAAAATACATAAAATAAACTATGAATTATACAACTTCATATCTTGTTCATTCTTAATTATTTGCTTCAACTTTTGAACACTTGAAAACAAAACAAATAACACACATAATTAATACTTAACAAAGTATCTTTGTCCAGCTGAACTGCACTCGTGAGGCGAGTGAGGCGAGGCTAGAGGCGAGCGAGGTGAGCGGCAAAGCAAGCTAGGCAAGCAAAGATAGGCAAACGGCAAGCCATGCAAGCGGTGAGTGAGGCGGCGAATAGAGCGAGGCAAACAAAGAGGGTTTCTATTTTTTTTTTTGTCGAATTAGGCTTAGTTTCTTTCTACTTTCTAATTTGCAATGCAAACCGAACTGCATAAGAAGGAAACTAGAGTTTAGAGTAGATAAAAACATTTATAATATATAATATATAAGCTTCATTATATATAAATATATATTATATACAGGGTTGGTTCGGGTTGGACCAACCCTAAACTCCCAAGACCGAAGGCCAACCCATACGGTGCAGGGTCTAGGGGTCCCAGGACCAAGACCGACCCAGTCTCCCGGGGAACCGAACGAGGATCGATGCTCACCCCTAGCTCATCCCAAACATTATTTACTATATTGAGTGATGTTTTTCTAATTTGAGAAATAGGCATGACTTGGTACTTATTCAAAATGTTCAATAAGATTTCTAAATTATTTTTTTATGCAATTGGGCCCTTAAAACGTATGTTGTTTTATTCAATGTGTTTCTTACATTAAAATAAAAACATAAATACTGACGTGGACTGACACGTAAGTGTCGTATCAATGCTAACCGGATAAAATAGTATTTAAATGTAATTTTAAAGCAAAATTTTAAATAATGGCATGAAGTGAGACCGTTTTCTCAAAAAAAGATTCAGAGTGAACCTTGGCTCAAACAAAGATCTAAAGTGGTCAACTTTTTCTCAAATAAGAGCTTGAGCTCACAGGTGCCTCTTGCATGTCACTTTTCAAGCCATGATCGAGGCATTTTCCAAAACACCAATCAGCCGAGCAATAAAATACGCAGCCAGCAAGCATAATCTCAATCCAGCGAACATAACTTGTCAAATGCCAACGAATTCATGACCACTCGATTTTACTATATTACTTAACGAACACATGGTGATTAGTTCGAAGAAGAGATCTAAACACAACATCAAAGCAAGTATAATGGTCCAAGTTTATCACAACAGCATCAAAATGAGTGCAGATCGTTATCAAATCCTAAATTTGAAGAATATTTCGCAGAAATCTCAACTGGAATTCTTAGCCTATGCTTTGTACGAAGAATGGCAAAAAAACAGAGCATTGAGAATTAGCCTTGATGAGACGTGATAGCGGTCCCGATCGGCTGTTGAACTGGTGAGAGAAGGTCCTCGATGCATCATCGGTGATGATCTGCGCCGGCGAGAAAGTTTTGAACTAGCTCGGAGTACTTCGCGCACACCAGTTCAGAAACAGGAACAACAATGTCATTACTTGCGGACATAAGAGCAAATGTGCATATGATGATGACGAATGTAGAGAGAGATATAGAGAGAGAATCCATGGTCACGATCATGACGTTGTTGAATGCGATCAGTGAGCTTCCATCGTCGAGAGACTTGCTCTTACTCGATCACTTCGTTGAAAACTTGATTACTCCTCCGCACAGCGACCAGTAGCAACAGAATTCGGAAGACACCAATGAAAATGGAAGAAAACAGAACAGAACAGAAATTCAAAGGCAAAGCAGGAATAAACCGAAATCGTTTCTAGACTTTGATTGAATATAGGACGACCTGGACTTGGTCCAGAGCACTGAAGAT